AGCATGGCTTCACCGACCCACCGATTCGACGTCCGTCACAGAGCTCGACAAGATGCAGGAATGAGGTCTGCCTCATTTCAGCACAGAAAGAGCGTGGGAAGACAGGTGGTCAATCCGGGATAGAAAAAGTGTGTGATCAATTGACCAATGAGGTAAGCTGAGCTGAAGCGGATCCAACCACAGCGTTTCTTTCTCAATTCTAAGTAATGGTTTGTCAATTCCCACTGACGGTTTCGCAAATGAAAATTAGTTTCTCAAAGCTATTTTAAAATAGTATGAAGTCTTCGACTGTCGATATCTACGTACTTCAGTGTGATTGAATGGAGCTATCTTGTAAGCAGTGGTGGTAGACAGGCCTGCTGTCCCCCGGCTCACTAGCAGGCTCAACCGATTGAGGTTTTATGTGGTTTACCACTCGAAGTCTCAGGGTTGGGTTGCCGGTCGTCTTTCACACCATAAATGAACAATACAACTCACAGAAACCACAGAATGCGCACTCTACATACGAACACACAATTTCCAGAGCCCTCACTAACTTTCGTCGTTTAAATCGAAACGTTAATTATGTACACCACTATCTACAATCTTCTTCCCCCATGGCTTTATTTTTGACAGAGACATATTTCTCCCTCATCACTTACTACTCATCTTCAGCTCCCTAATTACTTCCTCCATTCTTCTTTTCTTTCTAAAGCTGGTGTCTGCGCCTATATCCATCATTCTGTCGCTTCTTCCCGACTTTCATACTTGGACGTCTCTAACCGTGAACTTCAGCTTATGTGGCTAAAACTTCGAANATAAAACTCACAGAAATCACAGAATGTGAACTCTACCTACAAACTCACAACACCCCATAGCCCTCACTAATATTCGTAGTTTAAATTGAAACACTAATTCTGTACACCACTTTCTACATTCTTCTCCCTTGGCTTTATTTTTGACAGAGACATATTTCTCCCTCATCACTTACTACTCATCTTCAGCTCCCTAATTACTTCCTCCATTCTTCTTTTCTTTCTAAAGCTGGTGTCTGCGCCTATATCCATCATTCTGTCGCTTCTTCCCGACTTTCATACTTGGACGTCTCTAACCGTGAACTTCAGCTTATGTGGCTAAAACTTCGAATACCTTCTTTCAACCAATATTTTTGTACTGTTTACCGCTTCCCGGGCAGCAGTGATTCTTCTATTTTTGATAATCTGTCTTCCAACATTGAGACACTAATGTCGGCAGATTCTAACAGCCAAATCACCATTGTCGGAGATTTCAATGTCCACAGCAGGGAATGGCCGAAGCACTCCTCAGACACTGCGTTCATGGGACGCGGAGCCGAGGCTTTTGCTGTGGTCAACAACCTAAATCAACTAGTTGACCTCCCCACACGCATCCCTGTCCGGACGGTATTCCACCTGTCGTCCTAAAAATGTGTGCCCCGGAGTTAGCCCCTGTTCTACGCCGACTTTTCTGTTATACACTCGAACTTAAATCTTTCCCTACTCCAAGGGAAAATGCCATTATTTTTCCAATCCCAAAGCGCGGTGACCGTTCCGACCCTAACAATGACCGTCCCATTACTCTTACATCTGTAATCTGGAAAATGCTAGAAACCATTATCTTCGACCAAATAAGTTCATTTCTCGAACGCGAAGGTTTGTTAAATGATCGTCAGTATGGATTTCGCCCTCGTCGATCTACGGGTAACCTACTGGCGCTCATATCACATTCCTGGTCGGCTGCACTCGATAACCACGGAGAAACTCACATGGTCTCGCTCGACATCTCAAAGGCCTTCGACAGCGTTTGGTTTTCGAAATTATCCACGTTCGGATTCCACCCTGCTATCGTGGCTTCGTTGTTTCCTCGGGAAGCGAACCATCTCCGTCCGAGTAGATGGGGTCCTATCTCGCCGGTGTTCCCCAAGGTTCCATACTTTCGCCCACCCTCTCTATCTTATTTAGCAATAATCGCTTATCCCAAACATCTAATCCTATCCACTGCTTTGCCGATGATGCCTCTCTCCACCGTTCTCTTTCTTACCCCACAATCCGTCAAGCTAATACCAACATCGATCACGACCTTAATGTCATTAATGCTGCTCTTGCCCCTGATCTCAGACTAATCTTTGTATGGGGTTCTACCAACAAAGTGTTTCAATGCTTCTAAAACTTCTCTCCTCTCAGTCTCTCTTAAACATGTCTCCTTTTCTCCTCAATTGATTTTTGATTCTCTGCCCCTTCGTTCCATAAATTCTCTCTTCCTCCTGGCTTTATCCATAAATTCTTCTCTCTGTTGNATTTTTTATTCCGCGTAAGGCGTTTCTTTACACCCAAGCACTTTCCTTTTGTGAAAAGCTCAAATCCGCCCGATGCTTGAATACTGCAGTCACGTATGGGGTGGAGCTTCGTATTCCGCTCTTTTTCTCCTCGACCGTGTTCAACGTAAAGCCATCCGGTTGATCGNAACCGTCTTCAACTTCCACCTTGCAATTGCTTTCCCATCGCCGGGCAGTTGCTTCGTTATCTCTTTTCTATCGTTACTATTTTGGTTTCTGCTCTTCCGAACTCGCTTCAGCGGTTAACCTTCCATTGACCTTCTCTTGTCCATCTCGTTCTCAGGCGACCAGTCACCCTTATCAGGTTTCTGTCCCCAGATATCAGAATTCTACCTTTCAATCTTCTTTTTTTCACGAGGACTGCGAAATTGTGGAATACTCTTCCTATTTCCGTGTTTCCCAGCTCTTACAACCTTACCTTTTCAAAAGCAGGATTAACGAATTGTTTCTTACTTGGATGTTCCCCCATATACCTCTTCCTTACAGTATATCATTGATTATGGGGTTTACCCCTTCGTGTGTAATAAAAAAGTAACCCTGACGTAAGCCCTCGCAAATCTGGTAATAATTCGGTAAGGAATTTGTTATCACATGATATTCGGATTAGTCGACTTCGCTGGTTACGAAATGTATTGCGCATGCTCAGCCATCGTCTACCGCACCGCACCTTATTTGCAGTTGCGCCTCCAGGTTGGAGTAAATCATGTGGTGGTCAAAAGATGATGTGGAAACGAGGCACGAAGAAATGCACAGAACGACTGGGTAGAGTAGGTGTCTCCCGTCCTCCAGGTTGGGGCCAAAAGACTCGGCAAAGGGTTGATTGGAGACACTGAACGATATGGCAACTAACCGACAGCAGCGGTGTTCTTTTTGCCATTTCCTATCAGGTCCGAATGCTTGAAAAGGTATGTATGCTCAGTCAAATTGTATACTCTGTGTGTTGATCATAGGGATTGATTTGCTTTGCCTCTCTCCAATCAGGCCTAATTCCCATCCACCTTGTAATTTCTCACTTACTTTGTGTACAGTTCAAGCTTGGCAGCGATCAGCGAAGTTCGCTTCACTGTATCTCACTGCACAACTATGATGAGGAAAGGGCTCTCCTAGTATTACATATCTACAGGACAGTACCGTGGCGAGGAAAGGTGTTTATCACTAACATCGGTAAAGTTATCGATGGATTGGCGAACATAGAAAAAACCTCTCGTTTGGAACTGGTCATTATAATTGCCACAAGCACACATAATACCTAATGGAACGTTCTGACGGTGATTGTGCATTTTCTGTAGTTACAATTCTGAACACGGTAGTTCGCTCCAGGTCTTGCTCATCTTCGAACGTTGTGAGAAACCGCTAATCACATTCTTTTGTTCAATTCAAACACACTGTTCACATATGTGAGTAGGACTTCACAAAAGTAGTATAGGCTTAGTATAGAGCCGGACGACAGTGAATCAACCTATCACCCAAGCACGCTAGTGGTGGTGGGGGTTCTGACCTCGAACCCTAGGGCCCAAAGAACACGGGCAACAGCGAACGAAACCGCTTAACCACTTCGGAGTGATCCCGATACTCAATGCAAATGATCAATACAAATCCTGTGGTTCAAAGTAAAGAACAACAATTTCTAGTAAACCTCATTATGCACCCAATGATTTATGTAAACCTAATCGTTCTCCATCATCTTTTAATCTAGCGGGTGGAGGGTAGGGATTATGATTAATGAGGGACTATCGGAAAAATGAAACTGGCAACGGAAGGAGTAAACTAAAAGATGAATAGATCTGTTTGGTGGTAACAGTGACCTAAGCCATTTAATTAATATCGTATGACGAATTCGTCGTGTAAATCAGGTATGAAGTGAAAAGCTAGGGAGTACTGGACAGCTATTGTGATCTGGTTGGGTCTAATCAGCAGTGCAAATCGACTCCGGGACCTCAGATAGAAGACAAGCATACTACGCACTCGGCCTCTGGGCAGCCGATCAGACCGTGTCTCATTTTGCATATACACGATATAGCACTGCCCATTTTTGAGAGCTTGTTGCAGGCACCGTGTCTCGTTCATCTCAGTACTGCTAATGAGACACAGCCAGGTCGAAATATTTGTCCAATACTTCCTAGGTTTTCAGCCCACGCTTCATTTAGACGACGAATTCCTCATATAATTAAATTGAATACTCCATTCTTCTCATACAATAATTAATTTTACTCAAAAAAATATACAAACAGGAGCTTAACGCAGTCACTCAACCATCAGCCAGATTTTCCAAAAAAGTTATTCCTGAGACGGAACCCAATGGATACCATTGATATGGTAGCAGGGTAACGCAATAAACTAATAGCCAAGCTTGTCAGAGCGATCACTGTTGTTCAAAGGAATTTCAATGTTGGGTTTGATAGGGCATGCAGGAAATCTTATGTAGACGCAGATATTTTATCGGAAGTAAGTACCAATTTCATCGTAAAAAAGATGTACTTTCGAATTGTTCTATTATGAAAAGACCACGCTACAATATTTCCCATAAAAACGGGGGTCTAAGTATTGGACAACTTATTGGAAATGGAAAGCACCACGTTCTCGTAGTTAGCTAGTGACTGATAAAACGGACTCAGCACTAAGATAAAGCAGTTGGATCATAATTTTCCACGATAATGAGCTGATGTCAGGTAGACGTGTGATCCAAGTCTGATGCTGCGAGAAACCAGAAGCTACATGCACAGAGGCGACAATGACAATGACCTGAAACGAACATGAGAAAACGGAGCAAATCGGAGAGGGGGTTGAATTCACCTGGTTGATTTTTATACCGTCGATGTATTCGGCTGTGAGAACACGTTTGCTGGTCAAAGACAAGTCCACCCAAGGCACGTGTACCGCTCCGTCTGGTCGGAGTGTTCCGAGAGCTGCCAAATCGTTACGACAACGGGACGCGTTTTGTGCTTCATTTTCAAAATCCAATTCTTTGGCTAGTGTTTCCTACTCAACGAGCAGAGGTGCGGGATCATGTTAGGAGAAATAATGAAGAATGTCACATGCGCATTATATTCAATAAGAGGACATAAGAATTAAGTTGATAAACAATAATTTACAAGTGGCTGGTAACGCATTGTTTCGTTTTGTTCAATCTTACGCGAAACCGGTTGCAGAAATTCCTAGAGAAACTGTTGAAAGTTTAACTCCTGAGCACTAGGCCTGACAACCAGTGATAAAAGGTAACAGTGCGAACACCAGAAATTCATCTGCATTCAATATAAACCTTTCACAATTAAATCGACACATCAGTTAAAAACAGGTGGAGAAATTTTGAATAGATATTCAAGAGAAGCTGGAATAGCATTACCAAAGGCAGTGGTGTTTGAACTGGATATTGCCATTTTTGTTAAATACAAATAAAGATAACTATTTATTCGGATAGATAAGTTTTTAGAACAGAATACAGTGAACCCACTGGATTCAATCTGTCGCCAGAGCACCATCGGATGCTTTATACAACATCAATCTTCAATAAGAGAAGCCTGCATGGGAACCATTTATGTCCTGGACGATTCCGGTGAAATTCATCAGCTGCCTGCTGTAGAAAGTACTACGTTTATATGGAGTTGGGAAGTGGATTACAAAACACAAATGTGAATGGGGAAGGGTCACAAAGGTAAGAATAGTGTGATGCACCCGTTTTTCTGTTTTGACACAACAGAGAGTTTCCACCGTCTGACTGCAGTCGCTTCGGCGATCTGGAGCATTTTGGTAATATCGTTTAATGTAGATCGCTCAAATGAGTTCTCTCGATCGATGAAGTGTTTTGTCATCAAAACTGTTTTTTTACAATTGATCTGATTCTACCAATTCCAGTACGGCTGAGGCGCCGAATACATAGGCAGAACATAAAGACAATTACGTGATCAGGTTTCAGAACGTATTGAAGACCGTGTTCCATGAGAGGCTGCGTTTGAATAAAAAGTTACTGGCAAGATCCGTGCAAACAAAACACCGAAATAGAACGTTCTGAGTGCATAAGTATAACGACTGTTTTATGTTTTCCAGGGGCATTGCAATTTCGATAGTATTCCCTTGTATTTGGTCACACAAATATTCAATGGTCTCTGCGATAGGAACACTAGTGAAAAGTGAGCTAACGCCCATGGATATTAAATGTTGCTGGTCAAGGAATAATATCCGTGGTCGTTAACTCACTTTTTACTAGTGTTCCTAACACAGAGACCATTGAATATTTATGTGACCAAATCTAGTAAAATAATATTGAAATTTTAATACACCTAGAATATCGAGATCCTCAATCACGAGATGAGAAAACTATCTGCGACACTTGAGATCTCCAATGCTTGTGTAGGCTTTGTTTCCGGAACAAGCACTGATTATCATCAAGGTTATTACACTGACTTCTTCAGATGAAACCTTATAACATTAGGAACCACAAAAGCGAACTGAGATGCATTTAAAGTACAGCAGACAGAACTCCGCGAGTGCGAAATAAAAGCACTGTGCAACAATCGACAGATGTGTGACGCTAAACCATACTACATGGAGAATCGTGAGTGTAGAGTGAAGTAGTGGAAATGATGAAAGAAGTCAGACAATGATCCGATGCACTATATGAGGGTGAAAAGAAAGGAGTGAAGAACAAAATGGGGTTGGAAGTCGAGTCAAGGTATAATGTATGCGTACGAGCTCATCAGTGCAGTCAAGGGAGTACGAGTGTGCGCGCATAGCTCAACCTAATGGGGTGGGTCATTTACAACTACATTTACACCTCAGATGAGAGGTGGATGGGCGTTGTTACCTGAAAACATATGCCAACCTATACTGTGGACATTCAAATACTTGTGGAAGGTAATCTGATCATCAGGGTCGGAATGTATGTGACTTTCAAATTTATTGAATATGTCAAGACCTATTTGGACAGCTATAAAGAGTACAGATATAGAGGATGAGTGGGAGCTGACTTTTTCCCTGTAAAGCAATAAAGAAACAATTTGAAACTCACTACTGGTCTAATTTAAATGCGACAGGTGAGGGGTGACTACCGATTGATAGACAAAGACGCAAGGTCGATTTCGGGAGAAAAGGAGTGCTAGAAGAATTTGGAAATTGAAGACGTACAGTGATGAAATAGGAGAAATTGGTGGCTTGGCTGAAAAGGGATTACGGAGATGGAGGAGATTGAATACGCCAGTGTAAAGAATTAACGGTCTTATTCAAATCAAGATAGCGATTCAGTGAATCTTGATTCGTGAGTGAGTGGGAGTTAGCAGCTTGTCGTTGTCAATTTTGTCTACATGTTTTTTTTGTAGGACCGACGGCTTTTGTCCTGGGACTTCGAGTGGCAAACCAAAAAAGGCCCTAGCAGAAAAGGTGTGGTAGTGAGTATGACGACCATTGTAAGCGACTGTCACGGAACTGCAATTGAAACAGCGCTTACACAGTATTTATTGAAGCAGTCAGCTGAAGAAACTCAATNTGATACGCGAATCTAAAAAAACGGTGCATGTTGCATTATATTCGGGCAAAAAACAGATTTAGACGACCAAAGTTTGTTATAAACGAGCTTTCTAGGCTTTTAGTCATTTATTGGAAGCGCATATAACTAATTTTCGAAATATCGAACAAGTACAAGTGTTTTGAGAGCTACCGTTTCAAAAACCTAGAAAATAGTCGCGAGAAACGGTGCATTGTGAAATATCGAGATTTGACAATCCGGAGCGAATGTTGCAGTTTCTTCCAAATAGGTGTAAGCGATGTAATTGGACTTTTTAACGGTGTACCGTCAAAACCAGTCTTCCACAACACCGTCTGTAATGGTGGTCACGGCATTTCCGATCAGCTACTATTAGCGTAAGGGACTGCAAATTCTACTCTGAACTTGAAATTAACAATAACAGTAATCACTTGTGTAGAATGGATATTGATAGAGAGATACGTTGATGTAATCATACAAGATATTTGAGCCACTTGAGTAATATCCACCAACAAGGATGGAGGTTTGTAGTAAAAAAATTAGGTGTTCTGGTTGTGCCGTCAACAATCACTTTTATTACGCATCCATTTCTTAGTATCTTAAAATTCAGTTTCGGTGAAACTTTTAGGTTTTAATTATGTATTGCATTCAGATTACACTCTCTCCTACTTGAGCGAGTTAGCTTTATGAATAAGTAAGTGAAGAAGCTGGAAATCATATAAGATGACATCACTACCACCACTGGGCCCTTTTCTTGGAAGATGAGTTTCAAGCCATTGCACAGCTGTATTATTTGGCAAGGACCTCATTCAATGGCTGTCTCAATTTGTGCACTTTGACCGATTGCTCGATAGGAGAAAATATACCAAATAGTCAGACAACATCGTTCAGTGCCCACGATCACTTAAGCAACCCCCGCCTATTCATGAATAGACACCCAAGTAACCATTTGCCTGTAAGTTGAGACCGGTAGCAAACAATTCCCCGGTCGGTCGACCACCAGCAACTACAGTTTCAGCTCAGACTTCACAACCATCAACCCTGCACTGTCGCGCGAGTTTTGGCTACTCATTTTGACAGCAAATAAAGCAGGAGCTGATTGAAGCGTTGAACGCCAGCCACACTGTTAAAATATCAATACCAAAGATACACAAATTAAAATAACTGAATTTGGTTGGAAAATGAGCAGATGAACGAGTTATATATATATATATATATATATATATATATATATATATATATATATATC